CTTGAAAATTAAACAATTTTGTAAGCCTTAAAAATATATGAAAAAAATTAATATGAAAATCCATCTGGCTTTGGTCCACCTCATTTCTTTGCAACGCACTACCCATGTTGATTTCTCTCAGTTAAGAAAACTCATCAAATGAAAACCATTTGTTCTTTAAGTAATGATATTGTGAAAATTCCCAATGCACAGATTGTATATTTGCACATATGTAATGAGTGGACTATTGTTGACTCAGGATATTTTTGCAATAATTTATCTTTTAACTTTATCTTCCAATGTTATGACGTCAACCTTACATAGAAGAACCTTCTCCCAGATGGAAAAAAAGTGTTCACTAGCATAATCTAAACTATTTTAGTTTGGTAAAATAATATCACTATCCATAAGCAAACTAAAATTTAATTTTATTTCTGTTTTTAATAACCACATTGCAAATATAAATGTATAAATTCTCTAAAGTTAATAATTCCTCTCTTTTCCAGCTGCAATGTCTGTTTTATAAATACAATAAACTCCTTGCAAAAATCACAAGCATTCTCTACACCAATAACAGACTTAAAGAAAGCCAAATCAAGAACGAACTGCCATTCACAATTGCTACAAAAAGAATAAAATACCTAGGAATACAACTTACAAGGAACGTAAGGGACCTCTTCAAGGAAAACCACAAACCACTGCTCAATGAAATAAGAGAGGACACAAACAGATGGAGAAACATTCCATGTTCATGGTTAGGAAGAATTAATATCGTGAAAATAGCTATATTGCCCAAAGTAATTTACAGACTCAACGCTATCCCCATCAAGCTACCATTGACTCTCTTCACAGAACTGGCAAAAACCACCATGAACTTCATATGGAACCAAAAGAGAGCCCGCATAGCCAAGTCAATTCTAAGCAAAAAGAACACAGTGGGGGGCATCACACTACCAGATTTCAAACTATACTACAAGGCTACAGTAATCAAAACAGCATGGTACTGCTACCAAAACAGAGATATAGACCAATGGAACAAAACAGAGGCATCGGAGGCAATACAACATATCTACAACCATATGATCTTTGATAAACCTGACAAAAACAAGCAATGGGGAAAAGGATTCCCTGTTTAATAAATGGTGTTGGGAAAACTGGCTAGCCATGTGCAGAAAGCAGAAACTGGACCCCTTCCTGACACCTTACACTAAAATTAACTCCAGATGGATTAAAGACTTAAACATAAGACCCGGCACCATAAAAACCCTAGAAGGAAATCTAGGCAAAACCATCCAGGACATAGGAGTAGGCAAGGACTTCATGAACAAAACACCAAAAGCATTGGCAACAAAAGCCAAAATAGACAAATGGGACCTAATGAAACTCCACAGCTTCTGCACATCAAAAGAAACAGTCACTAGAGTGAATCAGCAACCAACAGAATGGGAAAAAATTTTTTCAGTTTACCCATCTGACAAAGGGCTGATATCCAGAATTTACAAAGAACTCAAACAGATTTACAGGAAAAAAACAAGCCCATTCAAAAATGGGCAAAGGATATGAACAGACACTTTGTAAAAGAAGACATATATGATGCCAACAATCATATGAAAAAATGCTCATCATCACTGGTCATTAGAGAGATGCAAATCAAAACCATATTGAGATACCATCTCACGCCAGTTAGAATGGCGATCATTAAAAAATCTGGAGACAACAGATGCTGGAGAGGATGTGGAGAAAAAGGAACACTTTTACACTGTTGGTGGAGTGTAAATTAGTTCAACCATTGTGGAAGACAGTGTGGCGATTCCTCAAGGCCTTAGAAATAGAAATTTCATTTGACCCAGCAATCCCATTACTGGCAATATATCCAAAGGACTATAAATCGTTCTACTATAAGGACACATGCACAAGAATGTTCATTGTAGCACTGTTTACAATAGCAGAGACCTGGAATCAACCCAAATGCCCATTGATGATAGACTGGATTGGGAAAATGTGGCACATATACACCATGGAATATTATGCAGCAATCAGAAATGATGAGTTCGTGTCGTTTGTAGGGACATGGATGAATCTGGAGAACATCATTCTCAGCAAAGTGACACAAGAACAGAAAATGAAATACCACATATTCTCACTCATAGGCGGGTGATGAAAAATGAGAACACATGGACACAGGGAGGGGAGTACTAAACACTGGGGTCTATTGGGGGGAAAAGGGGAGGGCCAGTGCGGGGGGAGCTGGGGAGGGATAGCCTGGGGAGAAATGCCAAATGTGGGTGAAGGGGAGAGAGGAAGCAAAACACACTGCCATGTGTGTACCTATGCAACTGTCTCGCATGTTCTGCACATGTACCCCAAAACTTAAAATGCAATTAAAAATTAAAAAAATAAAAAATAAAAAAAACTCTTTTAAAATGGTCCCACTTACTAATTCAAATCTAAATAATGCAACTAAACATAAAATCTTAAAATCTTTAATCCTCAGTGAGAGTTGCATAATTTTTACAAAAATCCAAAATCTCTTGTTAACATTGATAAGGCTTCAAGAAGAGGGTGAATTATAGAATACTAACAGTTATAAAATATATATTGGATACCATAATATGTGAAGCACTGTACAAAATAGTGTACAAATATTACTAATATGGCAATGCTAAACACCTTCAAGGAACCAAATTCACTGGAGGTGATTCCATATTGAAAACAAAGCAGAATAAAACAAAACTAATGCAGTCACACACATACTATTGTAACAAGTGAAAAGAAAGCATAAATAATTCACAATTGGAAAATTGTGGAACCAACCCAAATGTCCATCAATCAAAGAGTGGATAAAGAAACTGTGGTATGTACACGATGGAATACTATGCAGTCATAAAAAGGAATAAATTAATAGCATTTGTGGTGACCTGGGTGAGATTGGAGACTATTATTCTAAGTGAAGTAATTCAGGATTGGAAAACCAAACACTGTATGTTCTCACCAATATGTGAAAGCTAAGCTATGAGGATGCAAAGGCATAAGAATGAGACAATGGACTTTGGGGACTTGGGGGAAGACTAGGAGGGGTGCAAGGGATAGAAGACTACAAATATGGTGCAGTATTTACTGATCAGGTGATGGGTGCACCAAAATCTCACAAATCACCACTAAATAACTTACTCATGTAACCAAATACCACCTGTACCCCAATAGCTTATGGAAAAAAATTTTTAAACCATTTAAAAAAAATATATAAAAAAAGAAAGCGATAAGCAGCCACTGCGGCAGGCTGAGGAAATGATGATTTTTTTGGATAGAGCTGTTGAGGATGAAATGACAAAGGAAACTCGGTAACATATGATGTTTTTAAGTGAAGAAAAGTATGATGCTCATAGGGACTGTTTCAACACAGACATGAAGTTTAAATTTGATGACATGTTCAAAAATGATGCAAATAAAATAATGAGTGTTAAGGAGTATTTGGGAGGGATGAGGATCTGAAGTTGGTTTGGAGTTAGGTTGCATGTCAGATTGTTAAGTTTTTCTATTTTTGTTGGTGGTGATTTTTTGAGTTGTTGTTTACTTTTAAAATCCATAAATAGACATGTAATCTGTGATTCCATAATTCTTTTGAATTATATAAAGTAAAATTAAGTTTCTTTCCTTTGCTGAGTATTTTCTGTCTTGTTTAGCTGTGCTTTAGGCAATAATATATTCTTCATAAATGTAAACGCTTCCCCAATTACTACAAGTATTCCTTCTATCTTTTAATTCTCAGCTTTTAAAAATAACATATGCAATCGAGATATTTGTAAATATACGGGACAAAAGAAAAATATGGAGCATCAAGAATAAAACTTTTAATGTGAATTATAAATGAGAGGCTTGTCATTTGGTGAAAAGTGATGTAGAAAGTTTTTTAAGGGTTGTATAGGTGTTTAAGGATGGTGCCTGAGTAGGAGAATAATAACACAGAATGGCAACAGAAATCCTGGAGTAAAACACAGAGGAAATGCAGACCAAGGTCATTCTATTCAGGACATTGACAAATGGTAATTATTTAGAGCATCACAACTTATAAAAGTAAATAAATAAGAAACCAACGAAAATATTTTCTAAGTATTATTTATCAGATACCAGATATTTAAACAGCTTACTCCTTAACTTTACGGTGGACCCTGTTCAAATATCTCTTAAAGGAGCTTTGCTGGACTATTCTATTAAAATAGCAGAATATAAGTTTAGAATGGAATGAAATTCTAGAAAATAGAGAAAAAATGTCAAAATTTAGAAAAATCAACAATTAATATTTAAAATATTCTTACTGTCACCATTAATGGATTAAGTGTATATATTTTGCTTTAATTATAATCACTTAAAAGATTAGATATTTTAATAGGGGCTATAGAATTAGACACATTAATCGTCACTTGAGATCACTATCTATGCCAGAATAAATTAATAAAGCAATCTTTTGAGGGAAAAAGGCAGTAAAATACAATTTGAAGTAATCGGTGGTTTTATAGAGCTCTCTTTGCTTCGATCATTGACTAGTTCTTCCAATTTGAATTAAAGGAATCCATTGAATTCTTATTTGTTCTTAACTGAATGCACACTTTAAGAGATACTCAATGTGCTTAAAGAATTTAAAATCACCTTTGTATTATATAGTGGCATGAGAAAGGAAATTAGGTGACAATTCATGGCAATATTTTGGATATATTGGCAAATTACGGCATAGTACCATTCTAGCAAATATGAAGAATGTATAAATAGTTATATCTTCAGTGGGAGAAACTAAAGTGCATAGAGTTTAATGGTTTACTGAAGACCATCTCTATTGCTGTGGATATTAGTTAGAATAAAATAATTTTTGTCTTAGTCCTATTAAACAAATTATAGGATTTTTCTTGTAAGAACATATATGTAACTTTTGTCACTGAAGTCAATGTTGTTGCTATTTTCTGCATTTAAGCCCTAAGACAGATACAAATATGTACATGTAAATAACTTATAACAGAGAAAAGAAGCATTGACAAAATATTTTATTATTAATAATAATATAATCATGGTTATAAAAATAACAACTTTATTAACTACAGAAAGTTTATAATACAAGTCATAACCACAGTGTTCCCTTTTTTGGGTAAGCATCCAGCTGTACCACTCAATAGGCAGCTTATCAATTTCCTATTTACATACAAGACAAACAGTCAAAACATCCACAGTATTTCATTTTCAGTTTCCTAAATACAGAAACTTTCTGTGCAAATGGAAATGAACCTACTTAAAAGTTACACTGTCAAGATTTATATGGTCCAAAAAATTTAAACTTTTTTAAATATTACTAAATTCTTAGTTCCAAACTCAGTTGAATGTTGAAAGATAACTTCTTTTTGGACTTTATCATGACAAGTGATTTGTTTTAAAATTGTGTATTTAAAAAACAAAGGCCAGGTCCTTTTACCAAAATTAATTTTATTATTTTAATGTGTTTATATATATGGGACATCATTAATTAAAATAGTATTTTTTGAATCTTAGTAAATCAATTTAAGGCTTTTTAGTATAAGAGCTTATTAACATTCTGTACCTCATTATCTCTATATTGCAAAACCAGTATTTATTTTAAAAAAGTTTATAAACAACAAGGAAATGACTGACAGCAATTTCCCCCTTCTTGACAGTGTTCTTTTTTAAAGAGAATGTTCTAGCTACAACATTCACTTTGTACAGTACCATTGGTACCAACAAGAAATATTCACAGGAATAAGTGAAATACAGGTTTGCTATCACATGCCATTATTGTTAATTTTCTTGCCTTCCAGTATCTCACATTTCCCATAATTTGAAACACTTAGATAGCAAGCAAAAGCCTATTAATACTAGAAATTGACTCAATATACATTACTGAGGACCTGCCCACAGCAAATAGGTAAAAGTCATTACACATTTTACAATAACATTATAGAAGTATACAAAAGGATTATCATTTCTTCTGCACGGCAGAGGAATTATGAAAAATATTTTAGTTTTACACTTCAATTCCTGATAGACATGAGAAAATGTCTACAATTATAACAGTACATAACCATTATTCAATCAGCCAAACCAGAAATCGCATTGAAACCTTCTGATTTAAAACATCCTTTTGTCAATGACACAAGATAAAATGGATTATTGAATTTTTAAAAATGTTTAATAATTTATTCAGCAAAGAAAACCTAGTAAAGAGTATCTTCCACCAGCAAATAATGACGTGACTCTACCCCATTCTACCACCTAAAATAACATGCACTTTGTTCATCTAACTTTCATTGTCAATTCCACCCATGTCCCTCTATCACAAAAGGAGCCTCTCAAAGAGAGAATTACTTTCCACAGTTTGTTTGATGATTTATTGGTGGTATTGTTTTTAGCCTTTAATAAAATGAAAAATACTGGGTTCAAAATGTCTAAATACTTAGCTTCATCTTGTATCTAGCTAATCTTTATCGGTATTTTTAGGAAATTTAGTATTATAATTTTATAAAAGTTGTATAAATATCATTATAGGCAACAATAAAATTTCACTGGTTAAGCAAGAAGAAACTGTGAAATACACTCTTTATTTTGACAATATGCTCTTGACATTTCTAAGTATTCTTATTATAATGCTGTATTATATAAGGGAAAGAGAAATACAAGATAAGATGATGGAGGCTAGCAACTAGTTGGACGTCTTTTTGCTTCCACTTTAAGTTTCTTGATACCAGCACATATTTTATGAAAAAAATAAAACGACTTTTGTAAGCACTTCTGGACTTGCTGCCCTATGTTTTGTGGACTGAGTGCTCCATAAACTTAAAACGATTTTAGTCCAGATTGACCAGTGTTCTAAAAAGCTGTTAGGGAATCGTTTGGGGAGTTGGCCTTGATAAAAATCATTCAAGAAAAATAAGTCAGAGAAATGGGAATACTGTTTCACACCGTTCAAAAAATTATTTTTAAAGGCATTTTGTACAGGAAGTTTTTTGCAAAAACATCAAAGCCTATCCTATGACTTTTTGTTATTCTCTTTCTCAACAAATACATGATCTTTAGCTAAGCATGACAAATACAATAAGAAATATGATAATTTAGCTGTTATGCAGAAAATTTAAATGACCATTACATATCGCATTAGGAAAGATCTTTGTAAAATGAAATGAAAAAATGAAGATATCTTGATAAAATATCTGATTCAACAGATTCAACTATACTTCAAAAAATAAATAAATAGAGTTTAAACAAACTAGTTTCTTTCCTTTTAGAAGTTTTCTGTTACTTCAAACAAGCTTTGTTAGGCTAAAATCTTCCAGGTTAAGAAATATGTTTTTCTACAATATATACTTTAATGCATGACTTGATGAAGGCTATTTATAAAACTTTGGAGACATGGAAGTTTTTCTCTTAAATTTTTTTAAAAATTAAAGGCAGTGAGCTAGAAGCCAATCACAGCAGCAAGTCTTAGAATTAACCTATTTAAGTACATTTTTAATGACTAAACAGTTTTAAACTTCTTCAATTAGATCTGGGCATTTAAGAAATGCTTTAGGAAAATAGATCTACAAATATCTTATGTAAATATATGGCCATAAGTTTGGAGGAAACAACACAAATAGAACTATGACCCTCTTTCCTTTAAGAATTACGAACTACTTGAAATAACTAGGATAATAAATACTTGCAAACACCTAGAATAGGTGGTATTTCACTCTGTGGTGGATGGTCCCACCTGAAATGCCAACCAAAGAAGATCATCTGGAGATTATGTGTGGAGAATTAGCTAGTCATTTTGATCTTGCATCATTGTTTAATATTTCTACTGGTCTTTAGAGATTTCTTTCTCTTTTTTTTATAGGTAAACTATAGGAACACACTTCTAAAATATTTAGGAGTTACATTAGGTACACCATAATTTAAACTGTAGTGCATGCACCTGTGTACCTAGGCATGCATACATGGATATTGGTTTTGTAAAAAGTGTGTTCGTGTACCAGTATTACAGGATACGTGGTGAGGAGAAATGAATGAAATATAACATGTGGCATATGAAACGTAATATAATTTAATATAGGGCTACAATTAAGGGACACAAGGTATAAATTGTTCTGGTGAGGTTAAAATAATGTTTAATTTATGGTTTGCTCCTTATTAAGAAACCAACCTCAGTAAGCAGCATAGAGAGATTGAATTTTTTCCCATTAAATCTTTATCATCCAACAATTATACCTGTGTCTTTTTTTAATCCATTCAAGTATCTTCAGGAGATATGTTACTACTCTTGCATGTACCTTAATTCACTTCAACATTGACAAAATAACACAAACATAACAACAGAAAACACCCATAAACATTAATGAGAATTTTAACAAACATAACTCTCCAGTAGTTGTCTTAGAATTGTTGTAAGTGACATTTTAAACTCCACATTCTCTGAAATCTTCATGTAGGAGACAGTTGTATTGATGGGTGCTTCAGACACACTTACTTCAGCTATGACTGTGGTACCTTATATGTTAAAATAATTTTGTGTATCCATTTTGCATAATATGCTACTCGGACAAAAATACCAGGACGATTTAGAATGGCACATCCACGACCAGGAACAATGACACCAAGAACCATTCTCATTTTATGTTGTTCACAAACAAGTGGGCCACCATAGTCCCCCTAGGAGTAAGACATATAAAAACAAGGTATTATTAGAAATTAATTGTTCATTAACATTATGCCATATGGATTTGCATCTCAGAGATATATACAGAAAAGGAATAACTGCAACTGAAGTATGAAGATATAAAAATTAGTATACTCTACCATTTGTTGACTTTCTACTGAATTAGCCAAGACTGAGAAAAATACAAAGTTCAAAGTGTTCTATTATGTGTATTCACCTAAAAATGACTTGCCTTTTCCAAAATAGTCACTTATCCTTTTAAGTGTGTGTTTCTTTTTTTGGATGTAGACTAACATATAAAATTGGTACCTATTTAATAAGGTAGATTTTACATTTATTTCGATCTTCTTATGTTCAATAGAGAAAATTTGGAACATGTAGAAAAAATAAAGAAAAAAGAAAAGAACTTGGAATTATACAGTTTTGTTTTTGTTTTTTGAGACTGAGTCACCTAGGCTGGAGTGTCGGGGTGCGATCTCAGCTCAATGCAACCTCTGCCTCCTGGGTTCACATGATTCTCCTGCCTCAGCCTCCTGAGTAGCCGGAATTACAGGCACGTGCCACCATGCCTGGCTAATTTTTGTATTTTTAGGAGACAGGGTTTCACCATGTTGGTCAGACTGGTCTCAAACTCCTGACCTCATGATCTGCCTGTCTCGGCCTCCTAAAGTGCTGGGAATACACGCATGAGCCACCATGCCCTGGCAATTATACAGTTTTAATAACTAAACTGCATTACATTTTCTCTTATTTCTAAAACTTTTTTTTTTTTTGCTTCTCCCAATCCTGCCCTCAATGATCTTAACAAGTTAAATTAAAAACCTGTAGTCAACAAAATAATTCTGCTAATTGAAATGGCTTTTCCAGGCAAGGAATATTCTTCCACTTACTGCTGGTATTAGTAGTTAATATAGTTATATTTATATTTTATACCTTTCTTTCTGTAGGGTGTCCTGTGATTTCATGGCATTTCTTATATGGTAAGCCTGTTGCTTCATTAGATATGGATAGATGAAAGATGAACAGATGGCTTTATTTGTGTTGTATACATATACATACATGTATTCATTTATGGTTTTATTTATTCACACAAATATTAATATGTAAATATATAAGTAAATATAAACATATAACCACTACAACTGTGCTGCACCACTTTCATGGACCATGTAGCCTCCTAAGAATGCAATGGCTGGCTTCTGGCATCCTTCTATGCAGAAAAGTGTTTGGAACTACCTTAATTTCCCCCCAACAGCAATGGGGGAAACTACTGCAAAATTAACTTCTGTGATTCAAATGGAAAGAAGAAAGCCATTGGCATTCTATGATAGGGAAACCCAAGTTAGGGGTAAAGTAGAATATCAAACAGTAAAGAAAAATGGTTTATTGCAAGAGACTTTGCATAAACTATGCCAGGAGAGGCAATAACGCTGATTTTTAAACAAATGCACTAGTGATTACTGACATGAACTCCTCAAAGGAATTCACTCTGGAGACTTTCAATAAATGTGATGTCACTGCTATTATACAAACATTTGGGCAATATCTCCTTCAAATTTATTTCAGTGGTTGAATTACCTTAATTTAAATGTCAGTGACATATGTATTTTTAAAACCATTCTGGAGGATATATACGTTTTTGAGACATGGCAGAACATATTTGAGGTCAAGTCTTATCAATAAGGTTCAAAACAACATATATAGAGATAAATAATTCAAGCTAAAGAAGGGAAATGAAGAATATATAGTTGATAATCCAGATTAAAGACTATTCTTCAACAGCAGCTGTCAAATTTGGTTTTAGTAATGACAGTAATTAGATAGATGATCTGTAAGGTTGGGTCTAGTTAGAAACTTCTGTGTTTACCGGATGCTTATTGCTTTTACTTTTTAAAGTCATTACTTTCTCCTAGTTAATTTTCCCTTGTTATAATGAACAGTGGTTTTATTGTTCATGATTTACTAGAAAGGCAACAAATTTGAAACTGGTTATAAACATATAACGTTTCTAACCATATCAGCTTTAAGCAGTTCTAAAAACTAACTTAGTAAACAGTAAACATTTTCTCTACTTTTCAGAAATAAAATCTCAGAGCAAGGTGTATAACACTTGCATTTCAACACATATTTATGTTCCATACTTTTAACAGGCATTTTCCTACATATCAAAGGACATTTCACTATCATTGAACTTGTTTCATCCTTTGCCACACACAGCATTCCTTAATCCCACAGCCCTGAAGCTTGGAGAATGTGTCTCTGACATTTAAAATGTAACTAAAATAACAGCTTAACAGCTTGTCTATGTAAAATAGGGATAGAAACATTGTCAAGCTGAAATAACAGTTGCCTAACAAGTGAAATGTCCAAACTTTTAAAGTCACAAACTTTGACCTTTAGGTTTTTAAAAATATAATTTGTATAAACACATACACAGAGCAAGAAAGCAAGAGAGAGACCAGCTTACCCAAAAAGAGATTTAAAGCCAGGTGTCTCTGAATGGCATAATTAGTGAGGTTCACTTATAGATAATTTGGGAGGATGAGATAAATTTAGAAAAACATCAGAAAAATGCAAACTATTGATCAAACTGATTTGGATACTTCTCATTTGAATAGGTCTCCCTTAGAGTTCCAGGTCTACACATTTATTGTTTTTTGAGAGACAAATTTCATCATAGTTTGCTGCTAATAAAACATTGGTTATCTCAGCTTAGTTAAAAGAAATGCAGAGGAATAGTACAGAGTAAATTTTCCCAATTCCTCTCTCCTAGAACAGGTTGGTATACAATATTTTTGATTTGAGAAAAATAAACAGAAAAAAATAAGCATGAAACACTAAGCTATTAATCACATTCTCCTTATTAAATAACTTCCTTTTTACCTCACATGGTCCGGATCCAATGTTTTCAACCCCTGCACATATTTCAGACTCATTTAGAATCACCTTCCCTTGATGATACTGGTTGCATTTCTCATTTCCCACTATATAGAGATGTGCCACTCGTAATAGACCGTTATAGTTGATCACTAGATAGATGCAAAAAACATACAGTAAGATGAGAAAACAAAGAGAAATGTGTTCTTTTTTAAGTAAAATAAACGTGGCTTCATCTTTTGAAAACTAGCTTACATCCAGTGTAGCCCCAGCCATAAACACTGCAAGAGGTCTTTTCAGGAATTGTGCAGCCATAATTAGGTAAATCAATTGTACTGACAAAATCATCCAGGACAGCAGGCCTGAAAACACAAAATACAATGGTAAGTACTCCCAACTGGATTCAACACAAAATTAACATATTAAATGCAGTGTTCATGTTTAATATGACATTTACAGAGAATGAAGTCCTGTTTCTTAAAAAAAAAAAAAAAAGGTGGAAATGTCCAAATATAATGATGCAATTTGGAATAGGTAGTAAAGAAATGAGACATATATTTGCCAATATTTACGAATAAATGGTTGATGCTATTTTTTAAACGAATTATTTTACATTTGAAAGTTATCAAATAACTGCTAAGTTTCCATTTTAAAACAAACTGATCAGACTGTTGGGCCAATGTTAGTTATTCCTTTCTTACAGTTTTGCAGAGGCCTGTCTCTCTATACAGAGAGACCTGTAAGCACACATATAAGCATATATATAGCATGGTGACATATGCTTTTTATAATGCATCTGTGTGAGAAAGAATTGCCGCACAGCTGAAGAAATGCTCCAACAATTCTAGTCCAGGTGAAAAATACAAAATCTAAAGTAGCTAACCTGGCAAGCTTCAGTAAAACCAGATCTGATCCTTCAGGGCCATATACCAGCTGGGAAACATTTAGAACCTGTTTGCGTTTCTCATCTCCTCTTCCATGGACATCATGAATTCCAAGCCAAGCTTCATAATCTTTCAAGTCTCTGTTTTTAAGGATAATGCTTTAAATGTAAAATATAATAATTCCAAATTGTGTAGTATTATTCCTATGTATGGTTATTTTAGATTACTAAGGCATATAACCTGAATTTAAAATTCAATTCAAAGTATAATAAAGAGCAACCCATTTGTTATGGGATGTTCTGAATACTACAAACATACACAAGCAGAAAGAGGCTTTAAATTGCTGAGATTCTAAATGACTATTTTAGAAACTTCCTTATGCTTGCTATAGAGTAAGTCACTTGTGAAAAATGCTCAGGTAAAGCACTTTACATGAATTATAATTTTTTTCTGCAAATTTTGCTTTGTTTATCTCAGCTGTGTATATATTTGGTTTGGTAACAAGGGTTGAAGTTTTTCTACAAACAAAATCAAAGTGACCTTGCTGAGAAGCAGGAAGGAAGTTTAGGAATGCTGCCTCTTTATCTTTTCCTCAGGCTAATTTTCATTGAAAATTATGCCCAGGATGATCCTGAGTCTGACTCTACAGGAAAAAGAAGTGAGGATTTAAAAAAGCCTGTTGATAATTTAGAAAAAAAAGGAAACTATATCTGGAAATATAGGGTACCAGTAGAAAGTTGGGATATAAAACATTTACATAATTCTAGCAAAATTTTCCCCCAACTGAGAGTAATGCTAATTGTGAAAAGAGGTGAACCAAAGTAGTGTCTTGTAAGTAAATATCAGTGAAGTCAAAGTAGGTTTGTAAGCCAAATGCTAAAGATAAAATAATTTGTTCACCCCACTGGTAAATCTCCATAAAATGAATACAGTTATAACCTTCAGAGCGAAGTGGAAGACATATCAATTTTAAAGCCTAAAAATAATACTAGTTTCAAAAACACTTTACCGAGAAGGGAAACACTGTCGTGCAGTAAGAACCCAACTTTCCTTTATCAGTGATCCTCCGCAGATATGTTTATTTCTGTGAAAAAGAGGAAAGAGAAACAACATCTGTGCAGAAAGAGTGACTGCCAATTAATGCAAAGCCTGTGGCTCCATTTATTAAAAATAAATGCACCACAGAGGAAAATATAGAAATTAACCCAACTGGAATAAAATGAGAAGTTCTTTTATCTAACGGGTGATATTTGATGATTGTAGAATGAGGACTTGTTTTCATAATGGTACTACAAATTTATAAAATCAGTGTTACTTTTGTGTAGTCTAAAGAGCTCAGTTACTACACATCAATAGCCATCCCCATTCGTGTGTATGTGCATCTATCCTTGTGAGAGAAAGTATGTGCTACAAATGTAGAATAATTAGAATTTTTTAAAATGTGAACTTATTTTAAATTCAGTGTTTGCTTATGAGAAATGCAAAGCTGAGTTCCTATTTGAACTCTGAAAACATCCGGTAGTAGCAATTTTATTTGTACACTATTTTATTCTTCTACTACCATTATATAGTGTCAATATATTAACTTAAAATATAACTGAATAAATCTCTTTCTTCAGTATAAGAACAGCAATATAATATTTCATGTCTAAAGTAAAACAATTTTGCAAGGCAGATCATTTAGGAAATTGTAAAATGTTTGTAGAGAATGGTGAGTGCTAGTACATTTGTTTGCTGATATCCAAAATCTTAAATCCATTCTTTTTTGGCAGAGACATGGAAAAAGTACAACTTTTCACAATTTACATTTCCAAAGAGTACAGATGTTCAGTACTTCAGAGGGTAGTACTAGAAGATTCCCAGACTGAGACCATAGTTATTTATGGCTTTTACCACACAGGAGGATAAGAATATATACTGACTTTTAATTTCTCTCCTTCTCAGTATGAGTTTTGGAAGAATAACTAAGCAGCTGTTGTTGCTAAGAACTTGGATTTTAAAAGGAAAAAAAATTCAAAAAATTTATAGTACTCTGATCTGATGGAAAAATGGCTTCACCTGCTTCTCCAAAAATGGAGATGACCAAAGCAGTGTCCTTGTGAATTCTCTTACTGGAAAATATAATTTAGACGTATTCATATATGTCTTCTTTTATTCTCTGGTGTTATAAGATAAGCAAAGAATCACCAGTTATCTCAAAGGGATTATTGAAAGATTTTCTTATCCCTCCTTCCCTCCCTCCCTTCCTTCCTTCCATTCTTCTCCTCTCCTCCCCTCCCCTCTCCTCCCCTCCCCTCCCCTCCTCTCCTCTCCTCTCCTCTTTGTTTGTTTTTTGAGATGGAGTCTCCCTCTTGTTTGCCCAGGCTGGAGTGTAATGGGGTGATCTCAGCTCACTGCAACCTTGGCCTCCCAGGTTCAAGCAATTTTTCTGCCTCAGCCTCCTTGAGTAGCTGGGATTACAGGTACCAGAAACCACACCCAGCTAAATTTTTTTTTTTTTTTTTTTTTGTATTTTTAGTAGAAACGGGGTTTTACCATGTTGGCCAGGCTGGTCTCAAACTCCTGACCTCAGGTGATCCGCCTGCCTCAGTCTCCCAAAGTACTTATTACAGCCATGAGCCACCACATCCAGCCTCTTAAAAGATTTTCTATAATTAAGAAAATTAAACACTCTAACAGAATTCTAAAGTCTTTATTAAATCCTTGTACTGCACACTCAACTTTAATATTCTGGTTACTTTCACAATTCTATTTTAGTCCTACACACCTAGGACAGCTATACTATAATTATTGGCATAAAAATTTATGGAATCTGATGAGCTATTCCTTGAGAAAAGGGTGTCCCTTTTTTTTTTTTTTTGGTATTTTCTCAGAGAAAAGAGTATACTACAAAAGAACTTTAAGCCATCTCCTACATTATGGTCATCTAAAGTCACATATATTGAAGGCCATAACCTCTTGCTTTCCAAGAATTGGTTTATTCATAAAAGGACTTCCATTTCAAGTTGTCTCTATTCTAATGTCACTGTGATTTAATAATAGCAACAGATATACTTTCTTTTTCTCTACTCTAGGAGGCTAGGGGTGAAGGAACATTAGGGTATTCTAAAAGGGGATATTTAGGTTGAGATTTGAAGAACAGGAAAGAATATTCAGGCATAAAACATGGAGGAAAAAAGCCACAATCTATGGTGGGAACAACTACATAAAGGTTTGGAGGAAGAAACATGAGGTATCTAGAAAACAAGACAATGTGGCTTAAATTCAAATTTATCCTGGGGTTTCCTGCATGGCAAGGTTCTGATAGGGATAGCCAAAGACATAAATATTGCAGCATTCCAAATAACATACAGAATAATATATGTAGTATATAAAATTGTAGATCAGATTTTAAGTTATATTTTCAATATTTAATTCTTATGATATAATTACTAAGCTTAATTTTCTCTAACAATGTGATTTGCAAAGTGATTTTATGGAGGACATCGCATTGACTCCTAAGAGCACTGAGAAATAGACATATCCATAATTTTGTATCTCCACTGATTATTGTAATATCAAGACTATTTAACTGTTGGCATTTTTTCATAATGATAAAATACTCTAGAATTTAAAATTGTCCTTTTTCATTTGACAGACAAGGAAAAAGTCAGTAATTTAAAACAATATGAATGTTTTGACATAATCATGCATAAATCTGTTAGAAAATAAACCCATAGTATCCTAGATTAGAAATTTAATAACAAGTATCATAACTACTATGGTAATATTAAGGTTTTCAATAGGTCCTCTGTTCTTTTCGCTTAATCAGAACCAAAGTGTCTCTTGGAATCAGGGACAATGCCAATACATATGGGACCTTTGTGAAGATTTCAAAAGGCACTACCTCTGGAAGCAGAAATTGCAGTCCAGAGCTTACAGTTTGACAAGCAGAATGTAATCGGGCTCCTCTTTTACTGCCTCACCGAGTGCCCTATAGAGTGTAAAACCTTCATAACCACGTGTCCATAATTCTGGGAATATGACTTTTGCACATAATCTGGATATGCATGGTTTGCATCTATTAGTAATTACCTGTATTTCAAACTAACCATCCATCCTACATTTGTTCGTGTTGGAATCCCATTTACAACTCTCAATTGTTTCGTTTTGGCACAAGATATTACAGGATCTAAAAGAGGACCAAACATAACATTTTAAAATAACAATTTGAAATAATGAGTGCCTCTTAGTTTTCTTAAATGCAATGATAATTAGACAAATGTAACTATTCTTAGTTTGGAGCAAGAGTAGTTTTATATGACTGCAGTATTAGAGTAAGCCCCTAACACTTGTCATCCTCATCTAAGAAGTTGAGTAACAGAAAAACAAATCAACTCAAAACAAATCAGACTGGATTGCCATGTTAGCAATAGTGGCTTTGCTCACAATGCACTAATACCAAGTTCCTCCGGTCTAACACTAATGTTATATTGCCCTCACCAGCCTCAACTAAAATGAACCAAACTTATTTACAATGGTTATTTCTAATGGTCAGTAGAAATCAATAGCTTCAGTGAAAAAAATAAAACCAAGCTTTGCTTGGTTATTACTTCTGAATTTGCACAGATTGTAGATTTACCTGATATGTCTTACAAACATTTGATTTTTTTGAAATCATATCCAAATGATATAATTATCATATGCAAACAATTATGTCCAAAGACATAATCTAGAATTCATTGAAGTAAATGTTTTCCTCACACTCTGTGCTCCTCGCCTTATCCTCTCTACTTCTGCCCATGGTCTAGAATAGATTTCCATTTGCTTCCTGAGCCTGGGGCACAGCAGGTGGTATTTTAAATCAAAAACACTTGAGCAACTTCCTTCAGCTCAAGAAATATGTGAAAATAAAATAGAAGCGCCTCCCAACAGATTCTTAAACTGAGGATTAACTGAGTATCTCAGACTGTGTCATCTTGTGCCCAGTGGACTGCAGGGCATGCAGAGAAGTTTATAGACAGAGTAGCATAGGGGCACTGAATAACTTTCCAACTTTCGGGTTTCATCCTTCCTGACTCCAGCATCCTAATTTTATTAAAGCATGGTATATATAAAGGTGGTCCATTATACACATTGTGCCCCAAATACATATAAACTTTCTTTTCAAAATTACATATACCATCTTATAGATTTTTGGCAAGAAAAATGAATTTTCATATTCAGTAGGTAGTTGACTTTGAAACTCCTTTACAGCTATGCATAGAAAAATATATTTTAACAAGTAAAAATAAATAGATTAGCTTCTTCTTATAATGAAAGCTAATACAGATAATTTTCTATGAAGGACATAATGACATCATTTCTGACATACAAAGGGAGACTCAGAATATACTTCATAATGTGAAAGATTACTTACGATCTAAATTGACTATTGTAGGTGTGGTATCACCTTCACCTGTAAAAATAAATGTATAAATACATAATTCATATATGCATATTTCTGTTATAGAAAGCCAACTATATATTAAAATCCAAGTATCAATGAATTCAATAATTTACTAAAATTCTTTTTTTTTTTTTTTTTGAGACAGAGCCTCATTCTGTCACCCAGGCTGGAGTCTAGTGGCTCTACCTCAGCTCAATGCAACCTCCCCCTCTCGAGTTCAAGTGATTCTCCTGACTCAGCCTCCCAAGTAGGTGGGACCACAAGTACACACCACCACACCCAGCTACTTTTAGTATTTTTAGTAAAGATGGGGTTTTACCATGTTGGCCAGGCTGGTCTCAAACTCCTGACCTCAAATGATCCACCTGCTTCACAAAGTGCTAGGATTATAGGCATGAGTCACCATGCTTGGCCAATTTACTAAAATTCTTGACATTTTATTCAGAGAGAAAACGTAAGCTCTTTTGAGTAATTATGCATCACTTTAACTGGATAATTATTATAAGTATATGCCCACTGGTACTAGGTGATATGAACAGAGCCCTATTTTATGACTGTGGAGGCTCTCAGGTATGTGTTGTGATGATCATTGGCCACTTGAATTACACTGCTGGCATCAAGGAGCTGTCTGGATCCACAAAGTTGTCCAACATGAATAGGACTCATGTTCATTATTGTCTACTTGGACACTTCATATAGATAGGCCATTTTGCTTCTGTAATTTGAATCATTTAAATTTTTTTCTGAAAACTTTTGTTTTTATATGATAGGAATAATTGCAACTATACAAACTACATACATCTCTGCAAGGATTCTAGAAGATAAAAATCAATGTCACTAATGGAAAAAGAGGAATAACAAAATATAATTATGCTTTGTTGTTTGAATATTTCAAGGATTGATTTTTCCAGATGCTAGTTTAAAAAAGTATGGAAAAAAGAGAACATTGAAAACTACAAATTAATTCTAATTAAAACCTGTAGCTTACTACTTTTTCATCTCTACTGAGGCTTAACTGCCACAAAAAAAGAGAGATACTTGGAAGATGCAAGGATTTTGAAATACTTAATGCTGTAATGAATGAGACACGAGACATTTCCTGGAGCTTAATGTCTGAGTATTCAGAATTGATGGCATAGAGTTCAGTCAGGCACTATTTAGACCCAGATGGTTGTTAATCCCTGGAAATGCCCTGAGCCCAAGTAAGCCAGAAATGAAGCAATAATGCATATGGATTCCTTTGTAATGGATGCCAATGTGATTGTTATTTATAAGGACAATTGTGAGAATTAATATATACTTATTTATGTTCATTTTCCAGATCTAGATACTTTAAATGAATAGGGTAATGGTGAAAATACAAAATTCATCATTTCTCTTTCCCCATAGCTTATCCTAGAGGAGGGCTTGTCAGTCAGCTGAGGTCAGTGTTTTAGTTTTTAAATATGAGTTAAGATTAAGGCAAACTATGGTAACTACAACATCAGGGATATTGGTTTTCCACATAAGTCAAATACTTGAAAATGTTAAAGTAAATAAGTAGATATTTATGTTTTATTTTGTGATGAGAAAGACTGGGTTATTTGTTCTAGCTTTACTTGTATATTAAGTCTCTTATTTCTAAGCATTAAGCTAATAGATCAACAAAGTGCTTACTTAACTCTTGTATCTTACCGATATATTTAGTTTTAAAAATTTGTAGATACTATACATTTTGGGTTTTAATAATTAATAGTAATGTACATGTTTTGCTTTCTCTAATCCAGTATTTCTCACACTTTAGCATAAAACGAAATACCATTTAAAATTAGATTTCTGCAGATTCTGGGCTGGTGGCTAGAGTCTTCATTTTTATAAAGCATTCTAGGTTCTTCTGTTGCGTGCCTGGAATAAAACTTGAAAAACTGCTTTCTAGGCCTTTTCCATTTCACTATCAAATACTATTCTCACTTTTCTTCCTTTACTATTACCACAATCTATACCACACTACTTTCAGACTCATGTCTAAAAAAATATGATACAATAACTATTTTGTATTGGTTCAACTTAAATTTGAAGAAAAGATGTCAGTGATAAAAGTTTTACCCATGGAAGAGTAGGGGTGTGTGTGTGTGTGTGTGTGTGTGTGTGTGTGTCCTCAGAACCAAACATGGACTCTTCTTTAAAATATAAAGAAAACTTTCTCCTACTCTTCTTAAAGTTTAACTCAATTTCAAAACTTTATGAACATCACATATTTTTCCATGAAGAAATCTATGTTCACATTCTAATTTTATATATTGTTCATATATACACATTACATGATCATATTGCTTTGTAAATGTTAACACAAATATCTCCCTTATATACCATGAACTATTTGAAATTAAGAAGCAGTATTGATATTTTTATAAACCTAGTATGTTATATATGGCTTTGTACACAATAGCAGCTCAATAAACAATAATGAATGAATACATAAAAAATAGAGATGGAAGTTAAGGTTTTTACTGTTTACTAGGCAACAGACACTGTTCACAATAGCCCCATATACTAGATTCTTTTATTATAAAATATTGCAAATGCTATGAGTCCTAAGTGGGTTTAGTAACTTGCCCAAGGTACTTACAAAATGATGGATCTGGCATTCTTAGCAAGTCTGGATTGAAGTTCTTAACCATGACACTCTTGGTAGTTAATTAAGATTTTTCTAAATAGTATACTAAGGATGTCTGTGTATACTCACCATATAGGAACCTCTACATTTTTATATTTGCATATTTTATAAACTTAAAAATATATACAATATTATTTTGTAAGCATGTTAGGAAAAAATGAATAAAAACCTTTACATGGTTTGTAAGAGAACTGTGCAGTGTGAAAATGATTTATACAGTCTCGGCAGTTATATAAATAATAAGAACTCAAATCTTCTAAAGATAAATATTATTACCCTTTCACCAGGGAGAAAATGTAAATAAATCCTGGCTATAAATATTAGTTAGAAAAATGACCATGTAAAAATCTTTATTGAAATTAATGTTTGGTATACATTGAAATAAAATGATTTATCTGCAATCGCATTTAATCAAATACTAGTAACACCCTCAAGTCTTTCAACAGCACATTACTTTTAGTTTAAAAATATTAGTTGAAAAAATTTTTTGAAAACTTCTAAATTATTAGATTCCTGGTTCCCTTAGTTTGTGATTATAAATAAACCAAAGCACAGTGCCTTGAGATTCTACAGTACCATTTCACTCTTAACCATGCATATGTGCTAGATCCAGCTGCTGTGATTTTAAAAAATCTGGAAATCTGTAGAGGAAGCAAAATAACCTGTTTTAGAAGACAAATAAGTGTCTTTTTCCTTCTTCCTATCCCAGTGTATATTTGATGAGCCTCCATTAGTTTTGGTTTATATTAGTTTTAGAGACTTAACAAAAACCTTGTGTTATAAAACTAGTATTTAGAAAAATAATAATCTTTTAATCATTTAAAAATATTTTTATATGGCACTGTCTGAAATGGTAGGTGTGTTTCTTGTAGTATTAACATTTGAAAGGTGTCTTTCCTGGCAGATTTTCAGGGCCTATGCAAACCTTAATATAGAAAAGCGAAGAATATTAGGAAAACAAATTAATTTGAAAGGCTATGATCATGGCTGATAAAATGAAAATATACTTATTAGAAATACCATTTAGGGCTGGGTGCAGTGGCTCAAGCCTGTAATCCCAGCACTTTGGGAGGCCGAGACGGGTGGATCACGAGGTTAAGAGATCGAGACCATCCTGGTCAACATGGTGAAACCTGTCTCTACTAAAAATACAAAAAATTAGCTGGGCATGGTGGCGCGTGCCTGTAATCCCAGCTACTCGCGAAGTTGAGGCAGGAGAATTGCCTGAACCCAGGAGGCGGAGGTTGCGGTGAGCCGAGATTGCGCCATTGCACTCCAGCCTGGGTAACAAGAGCGAAACTCCGTCTCAAAAAAAAAAAAAAAAAAAAAAAAGAAAGAAATACCATTTATTTGCAAACATATAATATATTTAGTTATTTATTCTTATAGAGAATTTCTGAAACTATTAAAAATAGATGGAGCAGCTACAAGTGTTAATTATTGGTAGACTTGATTAACATATTTTAAAAGTTTGCCTTTAATGCTAAAATTTCATAAAACCTAATGGCTGTTTCCATTTAAGGTGAAATTTACCTCTTTAATTTACATAAATTCTGGAAAACATAGACTTGTGTTTATATTTCATTTTTTTAAAGCAATATCATTTCTTCAATTTAATCTCTCTTTTTATAGTAGATATTTGTGCTGCTATTCTCAAGGTACTTGCTACTACTGGCTTCTCTAACAAAAAACATTCTTAAAACAAAGTTCTTATGGAACTTATGAAAGTATTTCCTTTCTAAAGAGAAGGTAGTTTAACATTGTGGTAAATGATGTTTGTTGTAAACATAGAGTTACAGACACATGGTGTAGTAAAATGGTCTCTTTCTACTGACACAGCTTTATAAAAAGGCTTTTTCACTCAATAACATGTTAAAGACATAGTGCCATCTCAATACATATTACTCTACACCAGCAGTTACCAGTGGAAATGATTTTGCCCTCCAGAGGACACTGGCAATGTCTAGAGATAGTTTTGATTGTCACAACTTGGGACAGGTGTCATGCTACTGGCATCTAGTGGATAGAGTCCAGGAACACTACTAAGCATGCTGCAAGCACAGAACAGCATCTGGCCCAAAATGTCAGTGTGGGGAGGCTCAAAAATCCTGATCTATATCAACATTATTACTGCTTTTTATACATTTTATGGAACTGACTTCCCAGCAGGATTTTGAATTCACACTCAAAGTAGCATAGAATTGAGACACCCTGATTACCCGGGTCCTCACTAATATTAGATATTTATTACAATCATTTTATTTGTAACCTGACAGGTTGAAGGGACTTCTCATGCTTTAAAAAATGTTTCCTACTAATAAGTTTTCATGTCTTTTCCTTTTTTTATTAGCTATATTCTTGAAGATTTATTTTCTTTCCTTTTCTCCTGAGTTCTCACATCTTTTTCTTATTGCTATATAGAAATTTTATAATATGAATTATACTAGACATGTATTTTATATGAACTATATCAAACATGTATTACATGTTTTTTATATAACTTTTATTTTATGCAAGAATACCCTTTAAATAAAGCCATCTTGGGAATCAGATAACTGGGTGGAACACTCCAGGCTTTTCTTTAGTCTTAAGTTAAAGAACTGAGAGGGAAACAAAAGTACCACCAGTTCAGGTCTGTTTATGGAACTTTGCTGAGAGCTCTGCTATATTCAGAAGCTGAACAGATAGTATTGGTGTTGGGGAGTGGGGAGATCTTTCTAGCCCAGTCATATCAGAAATGTGGCCAGTTATTGCATTTGGAATCCAAATGGAAATCTTCTGGGGGAAGAGAATGTCCTTTAAAATATTAGAAGATCTTCTTATCTGTAAGAGACATGGAGAGAGAGGGAGAGAGACCATGTGGTGTGTTTGCATGTGTGTTGTGTGCATCTTTGTATGCTGCTCTCTGGAAAGCCTCCTCAGTTGGGAATCAATGCCAGACCACTTATATTACTTACAACTTTTACATGGAACGCAGCATATTTAAATTATTTCACATGACAAAGACCTCTAACTGTACTTACAACGAGAAATGGGGCAATAATCCCAAGGAATGAGTAGATTTCCTGTGTAGCACCAGGGTCCGTGAGCATCATCATCTGGATTCCGGCAGTAATTCTCATTCAGCTTACTTGCATCTGGTTCCCAGAAGATATGACTGTGGAAACAACAAGCTTTGCACATCACAATACTTATTCCACTGAGAGGCACAAAATAGTACAGGAAGATGTAATCCCAGCACATGACTTGTTTGTCCTTAAGCCAAAATGGACCATGCAACTTAATCCTTGACCAATTTCCTACAAATTGTTTCTAAAAGTTAAACCTAAACTAGATGAATTAAGTATTATTAGAGACCCATTGAGAGTTTCTAAAGAACTATATCACATATTTCCAGTAGCATGCTGGTAAATGTTTACCAATTGGTACTTTCAGGTATGTGTATGCTGAGGATGAAGACGAGGAGTCCTCATGTGTAGCTCTTGCTGATTTCTGTACTGTAAGTACTTCTACCATGAAAATTTCAAACTTCTAATGTAAAAAGCACTGAAGGCAACATTTTTGAAAAAAGATGAGAACGATTATCTCTCACAATTCGTCAGAGCAATCCACTCCATCCACCACTACATGCTACTAAAACTGCTTTAAAACAGCAGTGCTGAAATCAGCATTTATTTTAATCATGCCAACTCTTGCTTAAAATTATTTAATACATCCTTTTAATCCTCAGGATAAAATTTAGATTTCTTAACTGAGCTTACAAGACTATACAGTGTTGCCACTTTGTGAATTCCTTCTCTGTGGACATTGACCAATTGACATTCTTTCAGTCTTACCAAAATTATTTCCTATATTCAAATACTCTAATGCTTTGGCCTTTGCACATGCAGTTTCTTGTGTCTAACGTAGTCTTCCTCCTCTACTTCCGTTGCCCGATTCCTATTCATCATATGTACATCCCAGCTAATTTCCCTTCCTTATTTTTTCTTTTTTTTTTGTTGTTGAGATGGAGTCTCACTCTGTTGCCCAGGCTGGAGTGCAATGGCACAATCTCGGCTCACTGCAGTCTCCACCTCCTGGGTTCAAGCGATTCTCCTGCCTCAGCATCCTGAGTAGCTGGGACTACAGGCACATGCCACCATGCCCAGCTAATTTTTGTATTTTTAGTTGAGATAGGGTTTCACAATGTTGGTAAAAAACATGCTGGTCTCAAGCTCCTGACCTTGTGATCTGTCCGCTATGGCCTCCCAAAGTGCTGAGATTACAGGCGCAAGCCATTATGTCTGGCTATTTTCCCTTCCTTTAAGAAGCCTTCCTGACCACTTACGTCTGAGTAGGCACTTCTTTGCATTCCCAAAAAATAAAATATGCTATCTTTCATACTTTTCATATGGGATTTCCTGTTTGCATGTATCCCACACTAGAGTGGGAGATCTATGAGAACAGAACTCTGCTGCCCTTTGAAGTCCTAGAGCTATAGTGTCGATATAGTAGCCCCTAGCCACATACAGCTACTGAGAAATTGATCTAGTCCACATTGATCAGTACTATCAGAGTAAACAGACACTAGATTTTGAATATAAAGCATGAGAATATAATGTAAAAGGTATTTTAAATTATTTTTATATTGAACACATATTGAAATAAAAAACTTTAGATATATTGGATTAAATAAAATATATTAAAATTAATTTTGCCTGTTTATTTTTACGTTTTTAAAAGTGGCTACTAGGAATTTAAAAGTACATATGTGGCTTACATTTGTGAGTTGCATTATCTTTAATTAGAGAGCATTATTTTATAACTATCCTTCTTGTGTGAAGTAAATTAATTAAAACAATATAATACATGATTGCGTACATTTTGGAAGAGAATAAGGAACTTAAAAGACTGAAGCAAAGTCACTGCATCTCTCTGAGCCCTTAAATTCCTATCCACATATAGGAATCCTTCCTTTAAGATTATGGTGGTCAAATGACATAACTCTGGTAAAGCAGCCATAACTAGGTAAAGGCACTTGATCAAATGACTATAACTTTTTTCTTTTTTTTTGAGTAAAAATGATCATTTGTTATATATGACATCCTAAGGTAATTTTTTTAGTTGAATATACTTTTTTTAACTTTATATATATATATTTTAATTGTACTTTAGGTTCTGGGGTACATGTGCAGATCATGCAGGATTGTTGCATAGGTACATACCTGGCAATGTGATTTGCTGCCTCCATCCTCCCATCACCTATATGTGGCATTTCTCCCCATGTTATCCCTCCCCAACCTCCCCAACCCCCATTGTCCCTCCCCTAGCCCCCCCAACAGACCCCAGTGTGCGATGCTTCCCTCCCTGTGTCCATGTGTTCTCATTGTTCAACACCCACATGTGAGAACATGTGATATTTGATTTTCTGTTCTTGTGTCACTTTGCTGAGAATGATGGTTTCCAGATTCATCCATATCCCTACAGAGGACATGAACTCATCATTTTTTATGGCTGCATAGTATTCCATGGTGTATGTATGCCACATTTTCCTTGTCCAGTCTATCATCAATGGGCATTTGGGTTGGTTACAGTCTTTGCTATTGTGTGCATAAACAGTGATGCAATGAACATATGTGTGCATGTGTCTTTATAATGGAACAATTTATTATCCTTTGGATATATACCCAATTGCTGGGTCAAATGGAATTTCTATTTCTAGATCCTTGAGGAATTGCCACTCTGTCTTCCTCAATGGTTGAGCTAATTTACATTCCCACCAACAGTGTAAAGTGTTCCTATTTCTCCACATCCTCTCCAGCATCTTTTGTCTTCAGATTTTATAATGATCATCATTCTAACTGGCATGAGATGGTATCTCAATATGGTTTTGACTTGCATTTCTCTAATGGCCAGTGATGATGAGCTTTTTTCATGTCTGTTGGCTTCATATATCTCTTCTTTTGAAAAATGTCTGTTTATACTCTTGGCCCTCTTTTGAATGGATTTGTTTGTTACTCTAATGCTTGTTTCTTTTGCTGTACAGAAGCTCTGGAGTTTAATTAGATTCCATTTGTCTATTTCAGCTTCTGTTGCCAATGCTTTTGGTGTTTTAGTCATGAAGTCATTGCCTATGCCTATGTCCTGAATGGTTTTGCCTTGGTTTTCTTCTAGGGTTTTTATGCTGTTAGGTCTTATGTTGAAGTCTTTAATCCATCTGGAGTTAATTTTGGTGTAAGATGTCAGGAAGGGGTCCAATTTCTGTTTTCTGCACATGGCTAGCCAGTTTCCCAACACCATTTATTAAACTTTTTTCTTTTAGTCTTATGCATATACTCTGGATGTTTATGAAAAATCTGTTTTAGGTCACAATTGTGTGTTATACTTCTTTTGCAATTTTGTAAACACTAGCACTATTGCTAAGGCTGAGTGGATGCTATCTTCTCTATCTATGAATATATCTATGGTACAGATCTGTAATTTTCCAAAACCTTTAGAATTTTTCAATTACATTTACATTCCTGTAATTATTGGAAAATTTTATGTATCAAAGCTACATAAGGAAACTTGCCATTGTACATTTTTAATAGTTAAGATTTAGTAGTTTAGATATTTAAATTATATACATGAGAATGATTATTCATTGGTTTTTCATAAACTACTATTAATTAAATATGAAAACAATAATCCCATAAAATACACTACTTCAAACACCAGATTTGCCACTTAGTTATACACTGTCTTATTAAGTTATGTTACTATTGTGTCAATGTGACCATATCCTCCTCAGAGGCTGGAACCAAAATATGCCCACTTTTTGTTGCTGTTCCCCATGGTACCAATTATAGTACAGAACACATAGTAAATGCTCAATCAATATGCACTAACTTGAATTGCATATTTAAAAGTTTGCTTCTTTTTAAACAATGTTATGATGAGTTGTGCAGAAAAACCAATCTAATGCTTTTATTAGCTTGCCATGATATAGAAAAGATTAGAAAGAAAAAGCAATGTCCATATCTAAATACACAATCCATTGTTATCACTACATTCTATATATAGAAGGAAGAAATTTACATACCGGTGTAAGTCTTCCATGTTCTTGTCCCACATTGAACATGTTAGTCCAGATCTTGTTTTGGATAAATTGCCCATATAATTTTTGCCATTTCCACGATAACAATCTAGACATAAATCATACAGAAATAAGTCTAATAAATATTAAGGAGTATAAAACAAAAACATTTTTATAAGTATATGAAATCATGAAAATCAACATACAAATTAAAGTACTTGAAATCTGTACAAATCAAAAATACTCAATATCTCAGATTAAAATATCCTTATTTTAAGCCCAATATCTTCATTAAAATAAGGGCTTATGCAAATTCAAATAGTACAAACAGTAATTTAAAACCAAATGAGTGGCCCTTTGGAACAACAAAAAATAGGAATTTTTAGAATAACACATATATTTCCCAATATTTTTTTCTGAAAAATGTCATTCCATGGAAAAGTCACAAGAATAATATAATGAACATTCATCTACTAGTCACATTCCTTGTGTTTTGATTTTTGTCTTCTATGACATTGACATTCTGAGTCACCCAAGCCAGCTGCTTTACAAATGCTCTTTAAGTTGAATTTGTTTGATTTATTTTCTCATGAATAAAATCAAGTTAAAGATATTTGACAGGAATATTGTGTCAGTGATGCTTTGTCCTTTTCAGACCATTACATCCTGTGACACTTGATGTCACTTTGATCTCTCACTAGTGATGTATTTCATCACTTGATTAAGTGTTGCAGAGGAAAAACTCTTCTTTGTATTTAACAAAAAAACTGATTGGGCCTTTGAGTCTGAATATAAATATCCTGTTTCCAAACAAATTTTCACAAAAGAGATTAGGCATATTTTAATGAATTTTGCATGAATCAGTTATTGTCATGCTAATTGCAAAATGGTTATTTTTGCTATTTCTAACATTTCTTTGTATTTATTAGCTAGCATTTAACTGTAAATAAAAATTTTTCCTTTTCCCTTATGCCATTCATTTAGGTATTAGTAGGAGAAGTACTAGAACTAGCTATAAAAATAGTAAATTAAATGTGAACCAGTGCATTTTCTTTTTATTTAATATGATATATAATCTATTCCTGTTATTCATTTTGATGCTCAACTTGTTCCAAATTTGGCCAATGGAAGCCACTTTAAACTGACTCCTGTGTCTCTTACCATGACCCATGAGGTTTTCTCTTTCTCTTTTTTTATTGAGAAATTTGTGTTCTCCTGTCTCAGCCTCCTGAGTAGCTGGGATTACAGGCATGCACCACCACACACAGCTGATTTGTTTTATTTTTGGTAGAGACAGGGTTTCACCATGTTGGCCAGGCTTGTCTCAAACTCCTGACCTCAGGTGACCTGCCTGCCTTGGACTCCCAACGTGCTGGGATTATAGGCATGGGCAACCACGCCCAGCCATGTTGTTCATATTTTTAATCAAAAGAAATGTAGCTGGAAATCAAGTTCTTCAAAAAATATAAGTTGGCCAGGCACAGTAGCTCACACCTGTAATCCCAGCACTTTGCAAGGATGAGGCAGGTGGATCCCTTCAGGTCAGGAGATTGAAATCAGCCTGGTCAACATGGTGAAACCCCATCTCTACCAAAAATACAAAAAATTCGCCGGGTGTGGTGGCATGCACCTGTAATCCCAGATACTCTGGAGGGTGAGGCAGGAGAGTTGATTGAACCCAGGAGGTGAAGTTGCAGTTATCTGAAATTGCACCACTGCAATCCAGACTGGGAGACAGAGTGAGACTCTGTCTCAAAAAAATAAAAAATTTAAAAAGTATATTATATATATAGACATAATTACATATATACTTATGCCTATATATATATACTTATGTCTATATACTTATACTTATGTCTATATACTTAAATCTACATATATACTTATGTCTCTCTCTATATAAGTATATATATATTATATGTGTGTATATAAATGTTGCTTTCCAAATTTAAAAAGAAACCACTATTCTGTATTTTTAAATAATACCAAACATTTTTAAAGTGACATTGTATTCTTAACATTCTCAATTTTTACATGAATGAAAACTGTACATTTGGCTATGAAAGGTAATCTACAAATTTACATCAACATTAAGATTTTATGTTGGGAAAAATAATAATGGGTACTAAGCTTGGTACTGGGGCGATGAAACTGTCTTTACAACAAACCCTCATGACACAAGTTTACCTATGTAACAAACCTACACATATACTCCTGAATTTAAAAGTCTAAAAAAAAATTCTATATTTTAAACTTGGCAAACCATAGCATATTTTCATTGGTTTAAAATGTGCTATGTGATTACAATAAATATTAGGATATAAATGCATATAAGATTCATTAAATAAATAATTTAATGACGGCTTAGAATCAGTTACCATAATGAAAAAGAAATACACAAAATAAGCATATTCAATTGTCATACATTCTCTTCTTTGGATCACACTTGCCAAAATGACATAAGGAATTTGGGATTAAAATAACTCAAATAGATCTGATGCAGATAAAAGAGTCATTGCAATACACGATCAAATTGTTTTCAGAAAGCATTAACCTGTAAAATTTAATACTTGCATACTAAACAAATATATCAATTAAAACTTTTTCTCTGACAATACTTTTTTCCTATATTAAGAAATTTTAAACATTTGACTGTTAGTAAAGTCTTTAGATAGGCTTTTACTAATGAAAACAATTGTGTAATATAGTGTAGTTGTATTGCTCTTTTATACATTTTTATTTTTCACATCTGTATTTTTGTGGAACAGAGATTAGTTGAAAAGATTCTCCCTAGCACCACCACCACTATCCTTTCGTTTGAATTTGGGCTAGGAGGTAGGTTTTTCTTGAGTAAACTTTTTATTTTAGAATACTTTTGAGCTTACCAAAAGTTATCAAGATAGACAGAAGCCTCCATATACCACAGTTTCTCCACTTTTAACGTCATACAATAGTATGATTGACTTGTCACAGCTATTTAATTAATATTGATACATTACTATGAACTAAAATCTGTACTCTCTTTACAAATTCTTAGTTTCCACCTGATACCTTCTTTGTGTGTTTCAGGATCTCACCTGATACCACATTATTTTCAGTCACTATGTTCCCAAAGCCTCCTCTAGACAATTCCTCAGAATTTTCTTGTTTTTAATGATCTTGGCAGTTTTGAGGAGAACTGATCAACTGTTCCGTAAAATGCCCCTCAATTATGTTTGTCTGGTTTGTCTTGATTAGATGTGGATCATGCATTTTAGAGAGAAAGACATGAATTTCTTTGCAATTCCTAATTTCTACTCCATTTCATTTAATAGACAGGCCAGGCACAGTGGCTCACGCCTGTAATCCCAGCACTTTGGGAGGCCGAGGTGGGTGGATCACCTGAGGTTGGGAGTTCGAGATCAGCCTGACCAACATGAAGAAACCCTATCTCTACTAAAAATACAAAATTAGCCAGGCATGGTGGCGTATGCCTGTAATCCCAGCTACGGGGAGGCTGAGGCAGGAAAATCACTTAAACCCAGGAGGTGGAGGTTGTAGTGAGCTGAGATTGCGCCATTGCACTCCAGCCTGGGCAACAAGAGCAAAAATCTGTCTTAAAACAAAAAAATTGACAATGTTTGTGTGTGTGTGTTTTCATGTATTTATCATGAATAACTACTGATTCCTCTAATCCAATTTAATACCACAAAATTTTCCTCGTCTGTATTTCATTTTTCTATCTCCTTTCTCCCACAATGAGAACCCTGTTTTCAGGTAACATCAATATATTTGATCATTTTCTCAATTCTCCAATGCATACAACGTAATTTCAAATGGCTACACTTTAACAATAACAAAACTATAATTTAAAGATTAAAATGTATTTACAGTTATTTTAGTCTTAAAATATATTCTAATGAGAGTATGTACAGTCAGAATTGTATCAAAAAATTATCTGGATTTTTTTTCCTTCTCTCTATTAATGGTATACATTTGATATATACATAGACATATTTCTGTTTTTATTTCCATCTTTCTAGATGCTATTTTTTGAATATTTAAAACATTAACATGGGATCATGATCAAAACTATATGAAAGGGTAAATTCAGAGAAGTGTCCTTTTCTCTTGCTTCTGTGCCATTCCATTTCTACTTTCTACTCACCATTGCCAGTAGGCAATTTCATTAGTTTCTTGTTTATGGCCCTTGTATATTTTCTTTACTTTTGGCCCAAATTATTAAATCCAATTAAATGGTATTTACTTTTTTGGCAAAACTAAGCTACTACATAGTAGCTTCAAGATACATATAGGTACATATATAGACATGTGTGTATATATGTATTTGCATATACAGATATATAGAGAGATGTATCTATCTGTGTAGGTATATATATTATGAATGTATATATACACATATATCTGTATATATATGAGTATATACATATATGAATGTTACATACATATACAGTCATACACATATACATATCTGTGTATGTGTATGTATATACATTCATACATGTATAGACACATACAGATATATACATATATATGAATGTATGAATTTATATGTATATATATTTCATACCTGTAGTCTCATATTCCATTTTTTATTACCAGTAGTAAATTATCTTATTTAGTTACCAGTAGTATACAAACATACACTTATGTGCCTAGCTTTTTAAAAAAGTTAACCTCATGCTAAGCCGCAAATGATCTAATATTAGTTAATTAAGAGTTTTAGTGTTCTTTTTGCACATTCATAGCAGTTTAGTGTGTAGCTGTACCTGAATATATTTGTATTGTTTTGCTATGATAGATAATTCTGCAATAAGAAACTTTGCGCATAATATTTGCGCATTGTTAGAACTTTATAATCAGGCATTGGCATTGCTGGGCCAAAACTGTGGTTTCTTTTTACATTCAGATATTTTATCCACGTGGAATTTTTTCAAGTAGAAGGCATGAAGTTAATTTTATTATCATTCTAAATGATTAACTGTGGCTCCATTATTGTATTTTTAAAGTTAATATTTTACTCAGTGGTATATGTTGCCACATTTTTAATATAATAAATCTCAGTATGCACTTGAGTCTATTGTTGGACTTTGTGTTTTGTTGCAATTGCTAAAAAATTCAAGTGCTACAACAACACTCTTTTAATTATAAACTCTTCATATTTTAATATCAGATAGGGATAGTTCCCTCCAATTGCTCTTCATTTTCATGTTTTTTCTTATTATACTTATAGGAGAACTTCAGAATCAATCTGTTTAATATCAGAAAATACATATTGATCTATTTATCAATATCACATTAAATTTCTAGATGAAGTTTTCATCAGTGTTGTTGCTATTATAGATGTAGTTTTCTCTTTAAATCTTCAAGCTCATAAAAATACTAGTGATGTTTTTATATTAATTTTATATCCTTCTATCTTAATGAATTTTTGATTGTTTCAATTCCATTTTCCATGTGTATTACTATTATATAGTTTATATAAATAGAGATAATTTACTTTGCCTTTTCCAATTACTTTGTCTTCTCATCTAATTATATAGAATAATATATCCAATAAAATTTTAAAGAGAAAAACAATCTTAAATTATACTTAAAATATTAAACAGTAAGGGAGATAGTAGAAATACTTATTTTTTTTTGACCTTATAGGAATGCCTCTAATATTTCCTCATTAAGTAAGTGATAATTTTATAAGTGGTTATTTATATATGTACATGTCTACTCATATATATTCAATACACACATATGTACATATATATTCAATATATATGCTATGGAAGTATATATGTGGAGGGTACATGTATGTGTGCCTATATGTGGATACCTTAAATGTGAACATAGCTGTTAAGGAAGTCTGTGTAAGCATAGATGGACATACATGGACGTATGGATGTGTGTATACATATAAAACCCATACTTTTTTTACTTGAATACGTTTATGAGGAATGTATGAGTTTTGCCACAGGAATTTCAGAATCAGTTGAGATTTGCCATATAATTGTTTTTCTAACATCTATGATGAATTGTGTTAATGGGCTTCCAATACTGAATCACTTTTGTATTCTTAGACTAAACTCCACTCGGTTATAATGTATTATTTTCTTAAATTTTTATTGAACTGTCCATTCAAAATTTTTTACATTTTTATATTAATATTCACAAACAAGATAGCTCTACAGTTTCTTTCTTCCTGTGCAATCTTTATTATGGTTAGGTATCAACATCATACTTGCATCATAAAAATAATTTGAAAGTTTTACTGTATTGGGTAAGATTTGAAGCAATTTAAATAGCAGTGAGATTATCTGGTCTATGAGTACATCTGGACATGGTTTATTTTTGCTAGAATAATTCTTTAATAGATTTCTGTATTTTAGTTATAGATATTGGTCTATTTAAGCTTTATTTCTCTACCATGGTCAATTCGAATAACAAATTTTTCTAGTAAATTAATCATTTCATCAATGTAAATTTTGCTAACAGTATTTTTCTTGAGTAGAATGTCTATCTCTTCTTCATTTTTAAATTGCACCCCCCGCCCCGAGTCTAGCATACTGTTGCACATATCAGGTGCAATGGTGCACTATATTGTTAAAGAATAGTAATATAATATGTTGTTAAAGAATGAATAAAATAAAAAAGGGATGAAACAATGAAAAGGTCAATCTCAGGAGCGTCAGATTCAATCCCAATGTGCCAATTTGAGATGTAGGCAAGTTACTTAAATTCCATAAAACTAATATTTTCATTTATAGATAAATTGATTTATCTGATAAGCAATAACATCTGTTTACCCTCCAGAATCCAAAACTTTCATATTCTATTACCTGATCCATTTTATGTAATGTATATGTATGTAAAATACCTTAATACACACCAGAAGTTTATCAAATAATTGTTTTCCTTCTCTCCCTCACAAATTATTAACAAGTGTTCAAGTAAATCAGCCAGAAACACAGAAGACTCCACTGGTACCAAACTTCCCTTAATCACTGGCTTCAATTTTATTTCCAACTGACCCTTAAAAGAACAGTGAAACTGACTAAAAAGGGACTCAGCCCCTCTTCCCTCTACAACTCTATTTTCAGACTTGCTCACAAACAATGACACTGCAGGAAATGGTAAAGGATGGAAGAAGTATATACAGGACAGTCAGTCTATGAGATGGAGCTTTAGTTTGGCTTGGGATTTCTAGGATGATTTAGGACTAACCATGACCATGACCATCACAATTAAGTATATGTGAAATAGAACATGATCATCTGAAAAGGATATCTCTCAATGTGCTATATATCAGTTATTTCCAGGACTCAATATTATTATTAATATTTAACCAATTATTTCTTTGAAAAATCTACTTTAAAAAAATTTATTTTAGGTTTGGGGTACATAGGCAGGTTTGTCGTATGTAAATTGTGTGTCACCGGGGTTTGGTGCATAGATTATTTTGTCACTCAGGTAATATGGTTAATATTTAATAGGTAGTTATTTGATCCTGTCCCTTCTCCCACCCTTCACCTTCTAGTAGACCCCAGTATCTGTTATTCCCTTCTTTGTATTCATATATCCTTAATATTTAATATTTAGCTCCCACTTATAAGTAAGAACATGCAGTATTTGGTGTTCTGTTCCTGCATTAGTTCACTTAGGATAATAACCTCCATGTGCTGCAAAGGACATGATCTCATTCTTTTTTACAGCTGTGTGGTATTCCATGGTGTATATGTACCTAATTTCCTTTATCCAGTCTACTATTGATGGGCATGTAGGTTGATTCCATGTCTTTGCTATTATATATAGTGCTACAATAAACATATGGATCCCTGTGTCTTTATGGTAGAACGATATATATTCCTTCTGGTATACACTCAGTAATGGGATTGCTGCATTGAATGGTAGTTGTATTTTAAGTTCTTTGAGAAATCTCCATGTTGCTTTCCAAGGTGGCTGAATTAATTTACATTCCCACCAGCAGGGTATAAGCATTCCCTTTTCTCAGCAACCTCACCAGCATCTATTATTTTTTGACTTAAAAATCTATTTCAATCTAACTTGACTACTGCTCCCTGAGACAGTTATCTTCAATGGTATCTGTGTTTCCAAATATAATGGTGATCTCCCTCAAATCCCACCATTATCCAGCAGCTCTACTGCTAACACCCAGGGACTTGTCACTCCCATCTCTAGTCTGAATTATTAAAACAACCACTTCGTTGGATCTCCTGTTTTAACTGTTGTCAAGAATTCTAGCTATTTCCTGGAATGAAGCCAGAGTGATCCAGTTAAAACTTAAGTCAGATTGTGGGGTCCCTTCTCTTTCAAAACAAAAGTGCAAACCTTTACAGTTCCTGAAAGGCTGATGCAACTTTAGCCCGATTGCCTCTCTAATCTCATCTCCTATTACTCTTCATCTTACTTATTTTATACTAGCTATGGTGATGGGCTTATTTGTTTAACTTTCTCAGAACTCTCTCATCTCACACCATGTGCATTTGCAGTTTTCCCTGTCTAGAATACTCTTACACATATATGTGCATGGCATGGCACACGCTGCTCCCTCACTGCCCTTGGGTCCTTCTTACGTGTTAATGTAGCAAGTAAGATCTTCCCTGAACATTCAAATATAAAACAGAAGCACCCTTCTTTTCTAACTCAGGAACATTTTTCTCTACTACTTATGATAAACTACTGTAATATTCCCATTTTCATTTTTATTTTGCTTCTTTTCTATCAGTTAGATAATAGCTCCAAGGGGTCAGACAGCTTAGTTTTGTTTACTGGTATATCTCCAGGGCTTAGAACTGTGCCTGGTAGCAGCATGTACTCAGCTAAATAAATAAATGTTCAGTGAATAAATACGTAAGAGAAATCCAACTTCAAACTTGGCGATTTTGTTTGCTAGCTGGCAAAACCAGGGCAGCATGAAGTAGCTCTTATGCTGTAAAATGTGTCCTCCCTTTAGACATTTCCCCTGAATTTAATCATGCCCACCCTGCAGAATGTCAGCTATTACCTTGTCCATTTGATATGTCACAGTTTGGAATTTGGGAGCAGTAGCCAATTCGGATGTTTGGATCAGTGGTGAAACACCAGGGTGATTCAGATCCATCTGGATTTCGACAGTAATTTTCTCGTAGGTCTCTGTTGAGAAAAAGCATGTTAATGTAAATTGCCAGAGTTCTTACATTGGTGAAGTCAGTGCTATTACATTTCTAGAATTCCAGAATGTATGCATGTTTATAAATAGAGTTCTAAGTTTTCGGAGTTAGGATAGCTATAACAATTTAAAACTCAGTATACATAACTGACACTACACAAATAAATGCTGTCATATGTTAATATTTTTTTCCTTCTACAGGCCTAGAGTTTCACACAAACATTACTGCTTCAAAAAAAGAGAGAAATGGTATCACTGCATTCTTCTCACTCAGTCTCAAGATTTAGGCTCTCTCCATTGGTACCATTTCAAAACATTGGCTGTTATTTATTACATGTTCATGGCCCATATATTATGTAGAAACAACGTGTATCTCTTTTTGTGAAAGAAGGGTTATTATCAATAGTCATTAACTACTCTCATTTAAAATGGAAGTTCAATCTATTCAAATCTGTGCCATAAAAAATATGATAGCTATTTTTTCCTAAAGTTCTGTATTTCTTTGATTTATTTAATTTGTTGCATCAATTTATTTTAATTACAAAGCAAGTCTTTATCAATTTAAAGAGGCTACCTAAAATCTTTACAAATATTTCTATAAAGTTAAGACCTTGTTATACTACAGAGAAACAAACTATAGAACAAAATGAAATGTAGTACATGTATATCCTTCATTTTACCAGTATTTTAATTAGAAGTTTAGAGTTTCTAATAAGAAAAAAAGTCTATGCTAAAATTCTCTGTATGTAAAATAATTTTAATGATTTTCTATTTTAATATAAATAAGGTTCACATTAAATAAAATGTGCATTTTGTGATAAAAAGTGTTAAATATGCACTCTAATTTTAAGCAAGTATGTTCTTCTATTTCACAGATTCCTTGTTACTAATTTAACTAACTTAATATTCAGTCTTTGGAAACCTCAGTATTTGTATCACTTAGGTCCAATTAGAAGTACTATTATACAATTATATTAATATCCACATAGACCATTGGAAACTGAGAAATTTTTAAGGAAAAAGCTTGTGTTTGGTTAGAAAATCAACAAATACTAGTCCTACCTAATCAAAGGAGGTCTTGACATAAACTATTATTTAAGGATATAAGAACATTAACCGCCAATGGTTAAAGCCATTGTATAGTAAGTGTTTATAACCCATACTCAAACCTTTAGCCTTCTTATAAAATTAGTAAATGAAATAGATGAAAAAAAATTTATACTTATATTTTAAAAATTATGTCAGTATAAAACATGTGCATCATATTTTACATAAACTTTGCACACACTTTGGTTTTATTTTCTATTATTTGGTAGAGATGGAGTCATCCTTTGTTGCCCAGGCTGGTCTTGAACTCCTGACCTTAAGCCATCCTCCCAAAGTTCTGGGATTATAGGTGTGAGCCACTATGCCTGGCCAGATTTGCAATTTTACATAAATAATCACTCAGTTTAATCATTTGGATTGTTCATTTAGACAAGCCAATTAATTGAAGATCCAGGGCTATCAAAGTCCTAGTTTGGACCGACTTTAAAATCTGTACTAGAAGCACCTCAATCAATAATCTAGATGAAGCAAGAATGAAAGTCAAGATTTGCTCAAATATTTTTACTAAGTCCTTACCCTTCACTTGAAGGAAGAATGATTTACAATTACTAAGGTGAATTGATGAGTTTATGATTCATGTAGATTCATCACAGGCAGTATTGTTCAGTTACAGTGTTCCAAAGATTGCCATTTGTAAGGTCTCAGTACTGGGGCAAGTAATGTTTAATATTTAGTAGAGACACCTGACCAGTACACCCCTCAATACTGGATCACAAATAGTAAATGGTAAATCAATGTCCTGAGAAAAGAGTTGAGTGGGATTTTATCAGTTTTATAACACAGCACAAGCTTTGTTTCTTAATAATGTTTGGTTATTTAAACCAAATAACAAAATTAAGAAAGGATAACATAAATTCTGCTAAGAGATAACAGATAAATTTTGATAATTAAGTTTTAATTGTGAAGTCTGTGAATTAAATTTTTATAATCATTCTGTTTTTCTTACAGATGATTTTCACTAGGTATCTGCACATATACAATTTCTTATTGGGTATTACCAGTCATTAGAAGTCAACAAAAATGTGAATGGCACTGACACTATCTCCCTTGTCCCTTATAACTAACATTTTCTCTGTTTCTTTGTTTTCTCTACTTTGATGTATTTCTCAGGTATGAAACACATGGGTCAGGAATAGAGGGTGAATTGCTTCGGTGGAAATGAACATAAACCCAGAATGACAACCATTAATGTTGTTATTATAAACTAATAGGAAAAAAAAAATCTTAGTTATTATAAACTAATGGGAAAAATGTCTTAGATTAATGTTTACTATCTAAACAAATAAATAATGGAACTAGCTAAATCTTGTGCATGCACACACACACGTACACACACAAATCTCTCCTCTCCTATGGTGGATGGCCACTAGTGCTCATAGATCTTCATTCGGAAATGTTAGGCTGTCTTATTAAAAACCAATTACATAAAGCCAATATATGTAATTTATAGGTGCTATTTCAGGAAAGCCACTATGAATGATGTATGTGTTACAAATTTCAAAAGCAGTCATTTTATGTTCCACATAACAAGGTGGACAATTTAAAAACACGTGGCGTTGTGTCTGTGTCTGTCTACTAAAGTCAAGTGGTGTAAAAAGTACCCATAGAGAATGCACAGTTATGTAATTGATATTCAAGGGCAGTTTCTTTGGCTTGAGTCATCTACATTTTGTTTTGCTTCTTCACTTTTCAAAGCAAATGGAGAAACAAAGCAACACATTCATTTAAGCTTTGAAAAATTATTTTATTCACAGAATTTTAAGGCTAGTATCTCTTTAGTAGTGTTACTTTTCTTTCTATTCTTTCAAGAGGAAAAATGTGCAATCCTCCCAAAGATAATATGAAAATTTAAGAAAGCAGTATTTTGAAACATCCCAGGCTACCATTACTATTAATTGATTTATTAAACAGACTCACAAGAGCAAAGCTATGATCAGAAACCACCTATGGATGTGTTTCCCAAAGCATAGTGAATCTACCCTCTGGATTCCAACCACCTAGAATGGTTAATGAAATGCATATTTGAGGACCAAATTCCAGACTGAAAAAGTCAAAATCTCTGAGCGGAGGAATAATCTGCTTTTTAATTCCTGATTATCACTGGGCACACTAAAGTTTGATCACGAACACAAAATTAGTAAAAAGTAACCACTCTATCTCATTTCCCTTAGAGCCTACTGAAATGTATAACATTTGCCTCTTTTACTCACTTGCACTTATAATTTTCAGGAGTCATGTCATGCTGGTGAGGATACTGAGAATCCCAACGCTGACATGGAATTCCATTCCAAATGGTATTGACAGTGCCCCTGTAGCCTTCTCCTTGACCTTGTATGCATTCAGTTGTTTCCATAGGAACATTAGTGTGATTCATAGTACTGTCAGCTACTGGTAAAAAGACAAACAAAAAAACATATAAAATTAGAAATTTAACTTCACATCATTACTGTCTTCCTTCCAATTTCCCTTTCATTCAAATCCTAAATTAGTTTTTTATTGAAGTTACTTAAATGCATTTTACTTCCACATGTATAACTTACATATGCTGAATAGGTAGTGTTTCTGAAATGACTGTCAATTACTTCTAAAATTAACTTGCTTATAAGTACATACTAAGTGATAATGAAATTTTCCTCCAATATAATGAATATATTCTGGCCAGGCATGGTGGCATACAACTGTAATCCCAGAACACTGGGAGGCTGAGGTAGGCAGATTACCTGAGGTCAGGAATTTAAGACCAGCCTGGTCAACATGTTGAAACCCTGTCTTTACTAAAAATACACACACACACACACAAAAATAGCCAGGTATGGTGGCAGTTGCCTATAATCCCAGCTACTCGGGAGGCTAAGGCAAGAAATGGCTTGAACCAGGGAAGTGGAGGTTACAGTGAGCCGATTGTACCATTGCACTCTAGCCTGGGCAACAAGAGTGAAAGTCCACCTCCAAAAAAAAAATAAATAAATAATAAATTCTAAGCTGACATATTAAATATTTTTAATCAACTTGTTGACAATAAAGAAAAAAATCAGTTATTGCTAGGATGAACTATTTCCTGCTTTTTTTCCTAGTCCAACTTCAATGCTTACTATACTTCATGAAGATCATAAAACCTTCAGTTACTAAGTAAAAAAAGTGTAAAATTAAATTTTTACCACAATTTGGTCTCTATGTATAATGTTTATTCAAACAAAATATAACTCAAAACATTCCAGAGCAATTAAAATTCATATATATTCTCAAAACATACATGAAAATGTTTATGGTTTGATAAACGTGTAAACTTCCCAACTACCTTCACAATCTAAATGGCCATTCAAGATGCCTCTGGAAGAAACTCAGGTCAGCAGCCTCTAGGACAGTTTAAGATTTGAGTAAATTTCATTGATTCATCCGTTTTGGAATTGAATGCACCACTGTACAAAGGACAGGCCAGAATTAGAAATGCCTTCAATGACTAGGGATGTCTATGAAAGTTTTCTATATTTAATAATGTAAATGTTTTAATAGTTCTTAAATTTCATTTAAACATTTCTTTCATATAAACCATTGCTACCTTATGTATTTGAATGCTTTATTTCATTGCATTCTATGAGTTAACCTTAGGCAAACCAAACAATAGCCTATGCTTAGAGTTATTCTATGAAGTTTTGTGAAAAAAGAGAAAATGTTTCCTTAATGACCACCCTAATTACTGAAATAAGTTGTACTATAGAAATTTCCAGTAAATTCCTTTTAAATAACTTTATTGCAGCCCATTTAAAAGGTGTTTTAATGTTTTATATATCTGCTTTGGAGAATAGAAATATGACTCAGAAATATCCAAAATTAAAAAGAAATTCAAATGAAGATGAAAAATGTTCCATCATTGACCCATAAAGTGGTAATTGAGAGCTGATAGCCTACAGAATTCATCCATGTTGATATTTATGATATATATTGATTTTAGGAAGAACAGAAATTATGAGACTTGGGGAAATGGCTTGTATAGAAAAAGTTGATGCTAATTTTGCAAGTCTTTTATAATTTTAGTACTATTACGTACTTCATCAACACAAAGGTCTTTGATGAAATACAAAATAAGATGGATTTCATAGGTCCTCAGGAACTATGTTTCATCAATACAAATGCCATTAAATTACTCTATTTCTCACTATTTGAATTAACTGTTAAATGACATGAGGAAACTGAATGTGTATAGGGAAGTTTTAAAAGGTGGTAACTCTAAAACAGGTAAAAGGTCAATATGTTATATTTCATATCTAGTTATAAAACTGATGGGAAAGCAGACAAAAAATAAATGTCCTTGGGCATCTATCAATTCATTCACTTAACATGCTAGAAGAACAATTTTAGGCACAAGTTCTAGAGCAGCAAACTTGTGACCTCAGTCAAGACTTAGTCGTGACAATTGAAGGGAGTTCAGAGTTAGGGCAGCCAGTGCAAACACACTTCCTCTAATCTCATAGACTTCACTGTCTGCCTCAGGTACCATAACTCTTTTACTTTCCTATTCAATTTATGTGTTTTATTTTGATTGTTTACTACTGAACTATTCATCTCAAACACTGCTCTTGTACTGCACGCATAACTCACAGATGCAGTCTTGATGAGTTCAGATGTCAATCAGCCATCTTTGGCATCTCACTGAGAAACTAGTTCAAGCCTCTGCCCATGAAAAATTAACACACCACTCCTTAGACACAAGTATGATCTACCAGATACGAATCAGAACAATAAATAAGAGGAATATTCAGATATGATTAAGGCTTTGAACACTATTTGATGAAATTTCTAAATATGGAAGCAGCTTCAAAAGGCTGTTTCCTCTACTATGTGAAGGTAACTTCCTATTGTAAAGATATGCCTGGGTAGCAGTGAGAGAGTAAATATAGTCATCTACATTGTCAGTGTAAGAATAAATATCAACTATCATTTCTAGAGCATGTTATTTATTAGTCAAAGGTAATTCGAATTTCAAAGTAATTTTTCCACGTTATTAGTCAAGGGTAATTTGAATTTCAAAGTAATTTTTTCATAAATAACATTTTAAAGTTACACTCTTGCTGAAATGACCCATGATAGTTATAATCTGAAGCAATATTAGAGCCTTAAACTCAGAAACAAGTGGATATATACCTTATAAAAAGGGAGATAGTAGGGTAGACATAGATGATCACAATTTATTAAAATATCAATACCTGGCAGGTTCAATGAGTAGCTATAAGCAATCCCATGATAATCAGGAAACATTAAGAGGAATGATAAAATGTAAATACTCATAAAGGATAAACATATTCCTTATTTGAGAGCAAAGTATAAAATTTTAAGAACCTCTGCAAAATTGAAGATCTATATTATCAAAACCCCAAGTCAAAGGAAAGACTACTTGCTTAAAAATATTCAGGAACATTGTTCAGTGTTAATTTATTCACTAAAACTTCAATGTCAATTCAGACACATATTGTTAGTGCTAATTCTCTACTTCAACTGGTGGTTTCCAACCAGATTTAATTAAAGAATCTTTCACTTTTAAAAATAGCAATGATATAAATCTCATCATTTGAACTATTATGTTGAACAGCTGTTTTTCTAAACTTACTAGCATATTTTAAAGCATTTAATATAAACTGGAATAGTCACTAAACATGCATTTAAAAAAGTATGTTAAATGGTTAAATAAAAACCAAAATGCTCAATTTGGATTAAATAATTTAGACTATTTAATATATTTTAATTTGGAGGTAGAAAATAAAACCTTTTAGAGTTTTTTAAACTACAAAATACAAAGAATTACTTTGATATAAATATTATATTTTACCAAATAAATATAACTTTTTCATTAGGCTTTAAGATGTAAAGAATCTAAATTATAGCATTATTATTTTTCATCTTTTAATAAACATCCATAACTTGAAAATAGGTTTAACTCTAACAACTTAATTGTTTTCTTTTTTTCATGTTTTAATTCATGGGGAATATTTATCATTATTTTAAAAACAAACTAGAATATTTAGCTAGTATTTTTCTTTAACTCCAAAATATCCTTTGAAATTAGTGCATTGTATTTATTCCCTTTGACATTCAACTGCTAGGCGTCACCTCATAAATAAAAACTACATAATTCTGGTGGCAATGTATAGAATAAATAATACAGGCGAATAAAGATATATTAGTATGACAAGGTAAATAGTTTTCATCAATAAATAAGAGTTATTATGAAGTCTCCATGTAGCCATTTAATAAATATCTGATGAGGACCATGATGAATGATTTGTCCATAGACCATTTAACTGTGATATAAATGTTTGATCTCTGCTGCTCACATACTTACTATTCAAACAAAATTCATTATTCCTCAGTGGCAGTAAAACAAACTCCTCCTGCAGCCCTGCTGTATAAATATCAAAACTGCGTGCAAAAATAAAACAAATGTTTCATGACAATCCATTTGGAAAGGGTTATTAAATGTTGGGAAAGGCATTCCTTTGTACTTGATGCTTCAACATGGGACCTGAGTAAGGGAGGGTTTTGAAAAATCTCCATTGGCCAAACTAAAATGTCAGAAAAGCACAGAAAGATTCCCAAATTTCACCTGAAGTTGATTGAGTAGACAAAGCAACTGGCTTTTAAAATACAGCATCCCCACATACACAAATATTTTTGCAAGCATGTCTACCAAGTTCACTCTGAAAATACCTGGAACTCGTCTGAGAGTTCTTACAAATAAAATCTTTTACCAGGGGTTTCAGTAGCGGCTACCGCTTGGAAGCAGAGGCAAAGATATTTATGTAATCTTCAGTGGCCTTTGAGTAAAGGAATGCTTTCCTTTGATGATTGACACAAAATTTTCTGTTTGGAAATGCTTTAAGGAAAACAACTTTTGCTACCGAAATTTTTCACTGTCTTGTTTGAATATGATCAAATACAATGAGTGCCTCTTGGAACATTAATTTCACTTTGCTGGTTTGGTTGTGCTGTGATCTGATTGTTACAAAGTTTGGAAGGGAATTTTAAAATTCGAAAGATTTTTTTCTTGAGACAAAGAGTATTCACTGTTGTCTAATTCTTGGGACAAGCATCTTGCCTCCCAACAGAGACCAATAGAACAAGATCACTAATTTTAAAAATCTGATTACTTTTCTCTTTGAAGGACTGGCCAAAGCCTTGCAGAGAGGCCACAGGGCCTTTATGGAGGTCTGGATGGTAGCTGGAAAGGAGAAGTGCATAAGGATATTACAAAGAGCAACACCCAGGGCTCTGTAAGCTTCATATGAATGATGAGTAAATTCTTATGTCTGCAGTTTCCACCACCCCTAGGCTGCCCCAAACATCCCCACCAAAAGAAAACCCAGATTTTCCAATGGAGACAAGCTATTGCT